ACCGTGACAGACAGGCTTTAGACCCATCACAGACCGTGACAGACAGGGTCTGGACCCATCACAGGCCGTGACAGAGAAACTGTAGTTCTAAAGCATCAGATAAACGGTTAGCTACAAATGTATTGCAAAAAAAGGAACAAAACGATTTCCATTTAATTAGTAACAACAGATCCATCGTGCTTCACATTTTTAATCCCGCAAGGGATTGCCCTAACAGCTTTTCACTTTTATGTATTAATAAATCGTATCTTTTTTATCACTAAAACACAAGAAATAAAACAACATTTTCATTGATTTATAATTTAAATCTTCTGAAATTATTTTTTCATATAGATTGATAATAGAATGTTTTAATATAGTACAAAAATTAAAACTAAAACGATGCGATAGATTTTATTCTCTTTTTTTCTTTGAAAGACTTTTCTCTGAACAAAAATAGCAACACAGAAGTTTTAATTATTGTAAAAGTAGAACAATTATATTCAATAAATATGTTTACAAAAAATTACATATTTCTTCTGATCCTATCAATTAAATTACAAATATCTCATAAATTTCTTAGCAACATGAAATCCATCTTTATTTCTACTTCATACTTTTGTTTCATTTCAGTATCAATGCGTGCAAGTTCCATTGATATTCATCCAAATGCAACATGGTCAAAGAATGGTATCACTGTTGCTGGAGGAAATGGATATGGCAGTGAAATCAATCAACTGAAGACTCCAGGGAGTTTGGACGTCGACGACGATCAGACGATTTATGTCGCTGATTGTGAAAATCACCGTATTGTGGAATGGAAATCTGGTGCAACGAATGGAGAAGTAGTTGTTGGTGGAAATGGAGAAGGAAATGGAGCTCATCAATTAAAATTCCCACGAGATGTGATTATCGACAAAGAGAACGATAGTCTCATCATCAGCGATTTTGGGAATAACAGAGTAGTTCGATGGCCTCGTCGAAATGGTACTCGTGGAGAAACAATTATTTCAAATATCGCTTGCTTTGGTTTGACAATGGACGACAATGGTTATCTCTATGCCGTTGACAATCAAAAACATGAAGTGAGACGATATAAAATTGGTGATACTAAAGGAACAGTAGTTGCAGGTGGCAGTGGAAAAGGAAATCGTCCCGATCAACTCTCTAATCCCCGCTACGTATTTGTCGATCGAGATCATTCAGTTTATGTGTCTGATTCGTGGAATCATCGTGTAATGAAATGGAAAGAAGGTGCAAAACAAGGCATTATCGTCGCCGGTCGTCCAGGACGAGGAAATAGTCTTACACAATTGAATTATCCTTTTGGAGTCGTTGTTGATCAATTGGGTACTGTCTATGTGGCTGATGGTGAGAATCACCGAATCATGCGTTGGCCAAAAGAAGCCACACAAGGAAGTGTCATTATTGGTGGAAACGGGTATGGGAAACAGTCGAATCAACTCAATTGGCCCATAGGTTTATCATTCGATCGACATGGTAATCTCTATGTCGTCGATCATGAAAATAATCGAGTACAAAAATTTAATATCTCACAAACTCAATTCGTATGATTAATTTTTTTTTCTTTCGTTCTTTTTTTTCCGCTTTCAAATAAATGGTGATTGAATGAAAAAATGCATTCAAATTTATTCTATCTCGCACGCCACCAGGAACCACCCTGGTGGAGCCATGGCGAGCGTAATGCTCATGCACGCGCGAGAAGATCCACATCATCCACATGCAGCCATTCGATATCATGCGTCAGTGAGTCTGGAGCCCGATCGTGTTGGGTGTGGGTGTGGGTGTTGATAGGTATGGGTGGGTGTGGGTGTGGGTACGAATGCCGTCGTCTACATTCTCAGACCCATCCACGCTCGCACCCACACCAACCGATACCGACACTCACATCCACACAAACACCCCACACCCACACCCTGTGGAGTGAGGGTGTGGAGTGTGGGAGTGGGTACGATGTGAGGGAGAGAATGTGCAGTGAGCGTGTGGGGTGTGGGTGTGGGTGTGAGTGTGGATGTGAACATGTCATCTATCTATACCGGTGCTCACCCACACCCACACTGCTATAAAAATAAGAG